GAGGCAGTTATCAAAATAAGCTGAGAATCGCATGTCTATAATTTATTAAGCTGAAACTGGCATATACTTTGAGCCAGACAATAAATTGAATGGATCAAAACATTTTTCTTCGAAAAAAAAATGTGACAAATTATATTCTGGGTCAAATCAGATGCAAACTTTGGTAAGAATCAGAGCCTGACATTCTGAGTAGTTTTGAGAAAGTTCTGGAGGTAGAAAATCTTCTCCCTAGGTTTTATAAAAGAGCTGAAGAGAGAAGATACACGACTGATTAAACTAAGTTGCTAAGCTTTCTTTATAAAACTAGAAAAAGTAAGTCTCTCAGGGTCAGCTAGAATTTGTCTTATTAGAACTCAGTAACCAAGTAGATGACTAGAAACTGGCATCATTTCTAAACTTTTTGACCAACCTAACGTTCTCCATTTGTACTTATTTATTTAGTTATCTATTTTTTTTGAAACAGAGTCTTGATCTGTTGCCCAGGCTGGAGTGCAGTGGTGTGATCTCAGGTCACCACAACCTTGGCCTCTCCGGTTCAACTGATTCTCCTGCCTCAGCCTCCCGAGTAGCTGGAACTATAGGCACCCACCACCATGCCTGGCTAATTTTTGTAGTTTTAATAGAAGCGAGGTTTCACTATGTTCGCCACGCTGGTCTCGAACTCCTGACCTCACGATCTGCCTGCCTTGGTCACTCAAAGTGCTGGGATTATAGGAGTGAGCCACTGCACCTGGCCTTTCATTTGTACTTACTATGTTTGAGTATTTTCAAGGCAATATTTAGTGAGATTTAAATTTAATCTGTTGCTCAGTGCCTTTTTTTCCTATTTTTTTTTTCTATGTGTTACTTTATTGATCTGTCCAGGACTTCTTTTCTGTTTTCGTCACTGTTTTGCTACCTGCTATGGTTGGTTCACTCATTCACTTGGATTATTTCAGTAGCTTTTTTTTAACATGTCTTCTTGATTCTGTGACTTCCTTCCCAAAGTACCAACACTGTAGGTAGAATGTTCTTTTAAAAATAGAAATCTGGCCTGGGCACAGTGACTCATGCCTATAATCTCAGCACTTTGGGAGGCCAAGGCGGGAAGATTGCTCGATCCCAGGAGTTCAAGACTAAACTTGACAACATTACAAAACTCTGTCTGTACCAAAAATACACAAATGAGGAAGACATGGTGGCTCGTGCCTGTAGTCCCAGTTACTCTGGAGGCTGAGGTGGAAGGATTTCTTGAGCTCGGGATGTTGAGGCTGCAGTGAGTCGTGATCACGCTACTGCACTCAAGCCTGGATGAAAGACCAAGACCCTGTCTCAAAACAAACAAACAAACAAACAAACAAACAAATAAACAACTCAAAACCTGAACAAAGCACTCTTCAGCCCCAACTCTCCAGTAGCTCTGCATTACATTCAGAATAAGTCTGTTATAATGGCCTGCAAGGCCAAGTTCAATCCCTTTCCTCTGAGATTCTACCTCCTGCTGCGTTCCTTCTTTTATCTCCACACACACAGATCTTGCTCTTTCATGAATAGCAATCTGTCTGAAATGTCCTGTGCCCAGGTAGACACATGGCTTGCTCCTTAATCTTCTTTAAATCTCTGTTCAAATATTATCTTCTAATAGAACCCTGCTTCCTTTACCCTACATCAAAGTGCATCCTCCTGCCCTGCAATCCCTCTCCTAAATTATTCCACCTTGCTTTTTCCTTGTTCATTTACAGTTATCTAAGGCACCATATATTTACTGATTTAGTTCTTTATTATCAGACTTCCTTCATCTCCATTCTATCCTCACCATAAACTCCACGAGGAGGACTTTATCTTTCACTGTCATGTCACCACTGCTTGGTATAACTATTTGGAATTCAATAAATATCCACAGAATAAATGAATGAGTATGTGGAAACATTGATCAAGGGAAGAATATATGAAGAAATAAAATTGTAATTGCTACCTGAAGGATGAAAGGATGCTGCCATATAAAAGTGAGTAGGCAAATGGTTCATGTGGAGTGAATACCATTTGCAAAAGCCAAAACATTTTCTTAATTCATTTCTTTTCAACTTTTCCATGACAACAACCATAGTGCAACTTACTGTCATCCACTGTGGATCAGTGATACATCAGGCAGCTCCCTGCAGGCTTTTCTGGAACATTTACTGGAAAACCATTGAAATTTTTAAAATGGTTGACTAAACTTGATTAATATTTTAAAAGGTCATATAGGTTCATCTATAGAAAATTGTTTGAAGAAGGCTGACGTGGAAGCAGTTGCCATTTGGGTAGTGACAGATAAGGATTAAAACTATTAAATGGTTTGGCTCTGTGTCCCCACCCAAATCTCCTCTTGCATTATAATCCCCATGTGTCAAGGGAAAGAAGTGATTGGGTTATGGGGGCAGTTTCCCCCATGCTGCTCTCATGATAGTGAATGAGTTCTCACGACATCTGATGGTTTTATTAGCATCTGGCATTTCCCCTGCTTGCACTTCTCTCTCCTGCTGCCATGTGAAGAAGGTCCCTGCTTCCCCTTTGTCTTCCACCATGATTGTAAGTTTCCTCAGGGCTTCCTGGCCAAGTGGAACTGTGAGTCAGTTAAACCTCTTTCTTTTCTAAACTAACCAGTCTCAGATCGTATCTTCATAGCAGTGTGATAATGGAATAAAACAAACTACTAAATGGGTCAATATATATTTTGGTTATAAAATGAACAGAACTTCCTAATGAATAAAATGTGCATAGTGAGAGGAGGAATGAGATTAAAAAGTACTTAGTTTCTGGCTTGAGTAATGGGTAGATGCAGTAATAATTATTGGAATGGGGAAACTCTGGAGGTAAAATAAGTTTAAATTTTGAACATTTAAAAAGGGATCTTGATGAGGTCTCATAGAGTCAGTGTAAAGTGTTAAGAGAAGAGGGCTTGGGACCAAACTTTGGATTGGATAAATGAGTAAAAAAGAAAAGAGAATGAGTGAGACTGGCTTATGAAATACAGGGGATATTGGGAGAGAATCGTGTTACACAAGCCAAGACACAAGAATATTTCAAGGAAGAGAGAAGGGTTCCTTTTTAAAGATTTTTCCCAGAGGTTAAGAGGGAGAGCAGAAAAGCAGGCCTTGTGCTTGCAATGCATAGATCTTAGACACGCTTGTTAAGGACCATTATGACAAACAGATGGGAGGACTTTGAAGTCTGATGGGACATGGAAAAGACAAGACAGCATCTGTACATGAACCTCAAGAAGACTAATGAAACAAGCAAACAAATGAGGCATTAGCTACAAGGAGGGGTGCAGATGAAAATGTTCTGGGGAGAGGGAGGGAAGGGAAGGAAGAGAGAAGATAGAGAAAGAAGAGAGAGAGTAGACAGAGGACATAGAAAGAGAGTGAGAGATAGAGGAGATAAAAGGAGAGTGGAGAGACAGGAAAGATGGGAGAAAGACCCAGAAAAGAGAAAGAAAGAGAAGATAAAAAGAGAGAGAAGAGCAAAAGAGAGGAAACAGAAAGAGAGAGAGGAAAAAGAATAAGAAAGAGACTGTTAGGGAAGAAGCAAAGTCCTTGATTTGAGCAGAACTGGAGGACTGTGTTTTCATATGAGTAGGCCACCAACTCTATGGAATAAGCCCATGGGAGGGAGGAGAAGATGGGTGTGAGTGCAGGTAGATATGGAGGTTTGGCAGAGGAAGATGAATGCCTTCAAAATGGATGACGTTTGTTTTGCTCAATGAACGATAGGATTAGACCATCCACAAAGAATGAGAAAGGAAGAGGGCTTGTGGGAGGTTTGAGGACAGAGAAGATGCAATCTACTATGATGAGATGGGGCATCTATAAGAGAAGCAGATAGGATTCCAGAGAAGTATCTAATGTTATGCTGAGCTTTGAGATTGAGTGTTTAATATTTAAAGGTCAGGTCACTTGGATAATTTGTTTAGCTGTTTGTGTGCAGATAGAGATGGAGGGCCAAAGTTCTGGGGGGAGCAGGGGTGGGGGGAGAGAGAGAGAGAGAGAGAGAGAGAGAGAGAAAGAGGGCAGGGGCAAGGAGGTGGAAGGCATTGACAAAGAGGTGACTCCAGTTGGACTCCTGAAGGTAGATTAGACAGACAGGTGAAGCTGACAATGAAAAAGTGGTGGGAGTCAACACACTGAGGCTTTGATGATGTGGGGGAATGACAATAATGTGAACCAATTCAGGATGAGAGGGACATGGTCAGAGGCTGCAGGGACAGAAATGGAGGCATTCAAGGTAGAAGCATGCCAGGTTATGACAAGAAAATGGCAGCTGAGTGGAGGGGAGAAGTGGAATCTGGGCTCTAGAAATGAGAATCTGGGCCTTGGGTGGTCCATCCATGTGGAGGTTTAAGTCACTATGAACACTCTCAGAAGCTGGGAAAGTCACAAAAGAGTTTAGGCCAAAATATTGGAGTCTTCATTAAAAGTAGAGACACTATAAAGAAGAGAAGAGAGGGAAGGGATCATATGAGTCTGAATGAGGAAAGATTTTGCGTAAGATGAAGTTGATAATAGTCTGGAAGTGGCACTGGAGAACAAAAGGAGAAGCAGCCCAGTAAAGCTCAAAGGGTATGATTTTAAAGGCAAAAAAGAAGAAAAGCCATTTTAAAGGAAATCAAATGAGGGTATAGGCAAAAATAAAAATGCAGAGTATGAAAGAAAGAAAGGTAAAAGTATATAGAGGCTACAAGTATCAAATGAAAACTAAAAATGCGAACTTTTTATCATCCATTCATTCATGTGGGGCTAACCACCTGGTCAAGCCTGGGCTCTAGCATCTGTAAGTAGTGGTCCAGAGAGTAGCTTCCTCAGTACACATTTAAAAAGATATCTAAGAAATGGAGAATGAAAACATATTTTAACATTGTGAAAATAAAAGAATGATATCTCCTCCAATACAGGATAATAATAACTAGATTTGATAACTTGGAATTATTTCTTACAGTCTAAAACCTCCCCCTTGCTCACAATTCAGAAAAGATAAGGGAGGCATATTAATCATTTTATTGCTGTATGCATAACTATTTGGAAATTACAAATCAACTTAAAAAAAGAAAAACAACAGATGACCAAGCAAGAAACTAGCACCCAAATGATCCAAAAACTTTTATATTGAAACTTGAAGAAGACTACCTTGTTTCAAACACCACCAGAGATAAATATTTAAAAAGCTTGTAAAAAAGACAGCAAAAGAAAAATAAGTTAGACGAGGTTCCGTCTGATGATCAAGTGTTTAGTAAGTCACATACAGCTAAATTGGGGAGAGAATGTAGACAATTAAACAAGATTATACATTGTTTTAAAATTATCTGATGGATAGATAATAGGTTGATCTGTTCAAATTTTGTCCTAACTTAGTGGAATAATCTGGAAGTGGAAGACAGATTAGATTTCATGAAGAGTTGCAGTCTACTGTGGACTGCAGTGTTCCAGTGCAATGTGAAACGGATCTTAAAAATGCCAAAAATCATTGAAAAAGTTGGAATTTATGAAATAGGCATGGGAAAATGTGGCAAGTACTTTTAAAAGTTTGTTTTGGGTTTTAAATGTCTTTCCAAAATAGTCATGAGCATTTATGCTAAAGATTATAACACCCTTTAAACTCCAGCAAAAGTCAAAGGGTGTCATATATTTTGTACCATGACAATCGAATATTGGTATGAATTTAGAAATAAATTGCATAGATAACTAAAAACATCTATTTACTAGAGTAAAAATGTAAAATTTGAGGACATATAATTAAAATTTTGTCAGAACATTTTCTTGAATAAAAATTATGATGCTAAAAACTTTATACACAAATATAGAACAGATGTCTAGATGAAGATATATAAATAACTCATAATATACGTTTTCTTTTAATTTTTCAGTGCAAATGCAATTACATCAGGCAACATGCTTAGAGGTAAATAATACATAGCAGGTATATCTGGAATTCAGTGTCTAAATTAGCTTGAGACAGTATTTTAGTTGATATTAAATGGTAAAGTATTTATAATGCACTAATTTTTGCCCCTAAAGACTACCTCTAGAAAGTCAGATAGATATTTTATAAACATTATGATTTGTTTTCAAACCATACATACAGAGCATTAAATTATTATCTCTTTCTTCCTTTTGTTGAGAGCAAGCTGATCTGAAACTCAGCTTGAATTCTAATTGTAGCAATCACTTATAAAATGATTTGCATATCTCTTCTCAGTCTATGACATGATATATATGATCTAGAGTAAACATCTAAAAGAAGAATGAAGTTCTGCCCAAAGCTTGTTCGTTGAAAAATGACATGCCTTTAAATAACTACTAAAATGGCTGATGGCTTAAAAAGGTAATTTTCAAATTTAGGACTAAACAATGTGCAATCCTGGAAGAAAAAAATGGTTGGAAAGTATCTTCCCAGAAAGATAGATGACTAATACTTCCATTTTTCTTGTTTTCCCATCAGTGTGCAATTCTGGAGGAAAAATTTGGTTAGAAAGTATCTTCCTAGAAAGACAGATGACTATTACTGCCATTTTTTTTTCTTGTTTTTCTCAGTGTTTAACAGTGTTTAGGAGTTCAAATGTAACTAAATTGGGGGAATCTTAACTACCTGCACATTTTAACAGCAATAGTTATTAAAGACAGTTATTTGTTGTTTGCCAGACAACCTAAAAAATATCTCTGGAAGCTATCAGGTGTTTTAAGAAACGGCCTGTGGTGAGGATATTTCATATCAAAACAACAAGCAAGTTTCCTGTGGTCAGATATCATTCCCTTTAATAAATTACTTAATTAATTCATTAATAATTTTTTCTATTCTTTACAACTGGACCCAGGCATACTCAAGTATATTTTTGACTTTTTTTTTTTATACCTTTTGACTTTATTTCTGGAAAGATTACCCATCCTTAATGTAGCTCCCTAAGTGGTAGAAAAAGAAGACTCCCTTCGAATGACTTTATTTATATCTCTGCATTTTGGCATACTACAGACTATCAAAATTTTACATATTCTACAGAGTTAAAAGAAGATGTACACTGTAGCTTTAAAAAACATTAGCCTTATCTGCTGTTATTCAGAGCAAAATAGCTCTATGTTAAATAATTCACTCCTGTCCCCTTTATACCAGTGTAGGAAGTCAAATAACTATTCTTAGGCCTTGTAATTTCCTGGAAAATTTGAGTAATTATGGTAAATTCTTTAAAAGTTGTATATAATTCACAACTCCAGGGAAAAATTTTTGTTCTAATTTTATTCTGTCACATAGGTCACATAGACTTTCAGTTTAGTGAGCTTATAGTAACACTGTATTTAAGAAAGAAAAAAATTTCTCTACCATGCAATAGTAAATTTACCTTTTTCTTAGAGTGCTTTGATTCTTTTTAGAGATTTTTAGTCAGATAACACTATATAGCAAACATACAGACATGGTATTTCATCAATAGGACATTACTAAATTTTGAAGCTAGAAAAATATGTTATACTATATAATTTGGATGCTATCTATAAATCAGAGCACATGTAAGCCAAGGTCTTATTGACAAATCAAACCAGGAATTTAAAATTTATGCCAGTGAGAAAAATTAGTGGGTGAGATAAACTAGTGGAATAGGTTATCTACATTTCATTCTGGTCAACACAGTATTGTCAACTCTGTTAAAGGCTCCTGGTTGACCCCCGCAAAATGGTAGCAGAGATTTGCTAAAGCAACCACTGCTTTACATACTAAAAGCCAATAATTAGCATAGTATTACTTTACAAAAGAATTCTTTTCTAACTTTCCCCATTAAACATTTTACATGTTCTAAAAACATTTTTTTAGATCCCCTTAAAAAAAAATTCCCCCAAGCTTAAGCATACTGCAAGCTTCTTTTCTTCTTCTTCAGTTTTGCCTACAGCTCAGCCTATGTAAATCATTTTAACATTGGAGCTATGTAATAAAGAGCTGGATAAGAATGAATATCACATACTAAAAACAAAACCTGAAAACACAATTCAGTTCCCATCTGCTTACTTGTAAGGTCATTTACCAGTAGTTATGAGAACCATGCAGGGCCTCATTTGCTTCGATTTGAGAAGTTAACTTAGCAAGTTTTGCTTTCTTACGTCAAAACCACAGGGGTAAATGGAAAGTTGAGTGTGATATTCCTCAACTTCACCAGTAAGCAGTATTCACCAAGATTACATCTAACACTAAACACAAACTAGAATCAGAACAATCCTTGACTCCACAGGAGATTTAACTGAGGCCCTAAATTAAGATTCAGAGTCAGGCATTGTTAGTTTACCCTGCACAGACCTCATTGCCACTCTCTAATGGAATTTTCCTCCTAGGAAATACTTCCTAATTTAAAATTTATTTTATCTAGTGCAGTAATTAAGGTAGGAGTGCTTGATGGCTTGTGGACTTGACTATGCTGTCATTCTTAAACAAAAATCAGTTAACCCTTGTATAAATCTGTGGTTGAATTTTTATTTATGTTATCTGTGAAACCGACAGGGTGTCTGTCTGGTACACATTTTAGATTTTCTCACAGACATGAACACATATTGCATGTTTAGTTCTTTTTGAATTTTGCCCAAGCTATGTGGCAAAGCAAAACAGAGCAAGGAGAATGATACCAATTGATGTCATAAGACCAGTTACAGGCTGGAGATACGCTACAGGCCACACAGGCCCAAAGAAGACTCTGCCTCAAGTTTTAGTTCCTTAGTCCTAATATAACAAAAAAGTTTATGAATGCTAAGGAGAGCTCTCCCTAGTAGCAATGTTTCCATTTATTTTTCCCATTGTGCTTTCTCACCTTGGTCCTCAATGATCTGAGCACCAAGTGGTGCATCATAAATCACATTGCTAGTTTTTGGGTGGTGAGAATTGGATCCGAATCACAGTGACTATGAAAAAGTGAGCTGGGATCCTGACTACTTGCTGTATTGCATGGTACTGTACTTTGTGATTCGACTTCGAGCTGTGCTAGGGGAGGCAGACCCAATGGTTTGGTTAAAGTGATGGTCAGAGGAGCTCCTCATGTGGCCAATGGTGGCTGTCCCTCCCAAGCTGCTCAGGCCCATGCCACTACCACTTATGCCGGCTCCACTCAGGGCCCCGCCTCCAGCACCCATGCTGGTGCCAACCAGGCCACTGCTGCCTATGCCACCGCTTATGCCACTGGTGCCACTGATTCCAGTTACACCAGTGCCAGAAACAACCCTCTCTGTGACAATCACATTGTGGGCATTGCCTAACTCAGGGTGCATACTCAGACTACCTATCATGCCGGAAGTTGGTTGGATTACTCTTTCTGTCACTACCACATTTGAAGACTCTCTAGGATGATGGAAAGTCAGAGAGGTGGGTAGACTAGAACTTGGTGCTATTACCCTTTCTGTCACTATAACATTTGACCCATCTCGCAGATCAGGCATCTCTAACATTCCATGCAAATCAACGCCAGAGATCGGGCCGACCACTCTCTCTGTCACCACCACGTTTGATGCTTGTCGGTTATCGTGAATGTGCACAGAGGGCTTCAGAGTGTCAGAGGTGGTGTAAGACTCGGTCACAGTGACATTACCATAGCCCAGAGGATCGGGAATAGGCTTAGGATGCTGTACACCAGGTCCCGAGGGATAGGTGCTCTCAGAAATTACTGTGGTAGTGCCAAAATGTGGGGAGATGGGTGGGTGTCCACTAACCATGGGCTCTGTTTCCTGAGGAGGGCAAACGGGTTCAGTGCTTTGGGGTGGCCAAGAAGGATCAAGGTCTGGATACGATTCAATTTCTTTTCCCAGGCTGATGTCTGCCAACTTCTTAAATTTAGGCCCCAGCGTATCCAAGAAGCTGTCATCCAGATCTTCTCCAATGAAGCTACAACAACCCACAGAACCAGCAGGGGAACCTACACCTTCGATGTCATATATGAGCAAACAGTCATTGGATGGGCGTCCTTCATCTTCATCTGCATAAGCATATGCTTTCTGAATTTATAGGAGAAAGAGAAAGTGAAATTATGAATGCATATTTAACAACAGTAGAATGGCCTTTACCATTAGTTTTTCTTCCAGAGCATTTTCAAAGAGAAATGAAATAAAACAAGATTCTAACATCTGCTAGAGATACTTTAAAAATAATTTTGTAATTACTTGAAATAATTTGGTTAGAAATTATTTTAAGTATAATTCTAATAATATATTATGATATTAAAAATTTACTTAGATGGACCTATTTATAATTGTGTACTTTGGACATAAAACTATGCACAAAAAATCACATGAATTATTTTATAACGAAGTTAAAGGGAGGCATATAAAAATGCTGAACTTGAAGGACACAAAAATGTGTTGTTTCATTTTTTTATCTAGAAAGGGTAGTTCATAGTTGATTTGGGTTCACTCAGGATTCTGTTTCTTTCCTTCAGATGAAATGAATATGCAGATTCTGTGAAGGTTTATTGCAACCTGGCTTTTTCAGCACAGCAACAGGAAAATTGGACTCTGGGTCTGTTTTACAAAATTGAAGGTGACCAAAGATAGTTTAAAAAATAGATAATATCTCTAAATTCAAAGTAAAAGCCCAAAGGCATGTATACTTTCTGTTTCATCTTTGCTGTTCATAATAGTGGATTGTAAACTTTCAGGTTAACAGAAATACCTTATAGGAAACCAATTCATTGTGCCATTCATGTAAAAAAAAATTATTGAGCCTTTGCTATTTGCCAGACACTCTGTGTTTGGAACTTAGCTATGCATAATGAACAATACCAGAAACACAGAGCTTATATTTTGGTTGAGTGAGACAGTACCACACAGAAGCATATGGTCAGGAGGTGGCAGATGCAGGGTAAGGAAAAGGAAAGTGACAGGTGTTGTTTTAGATAGGGTGATTAAGGAAGGGATCTGTGATAAAGTGATATGTGATCAGAGATTTGAAGGAAGATGTTTTTATGTTACATTTTTATAACAACAGATAATATACAAATATTATGTTATATGTATGGAGAAGCATTCCTGTGGTTTTCAACAAGCCTCATTACTATCTATTGCTATTTGAAGGCTTTTACTAATATTTTATTTTAAAATATCAGCTTATTTAACCCAGTGATGTCAATATCACTAGGTTAGTTAATGAAAGCCTTTTAGGCCAGAATGAAGGACAGAAATGTTTTTCCAGTCAGTATCAGGGACAAGAACTTCCTGAAGGTTGGGTGTCACGTAGTGTGCGACCATGGACAATTACGTCTCTTCCTGGCTATGGCAAAGTTAAGTCTCCTGCAGTTGCTTCTCCAGGCTTCATGTCTTTCCCACCAGCTGCAGCACGTTCTTACAATGTTTCAGAAGTAGACTATAGCTCTTGATCCCACTCTTATTAACTGTTGACTATGTGTCTAGAATTGAGCTAGGTACAGGCAATATAATGTAGAGAACATGTGGATGAGACACTAAAAATGGTGGTAGACATGTAAACTGACAGATCTTAGCAATTGCAGGTTCTATAAATGTATAAACCAAGTGCTGCAGAAATACAGATGAGAAAACATTACACCTATTTTGGATGAGAGGGTTAAGTGTAAAAACTTCAGAGGGATAGTGATATTTGGACTGGGTCTTGATGGGTAGGGGTTTGTGAAAGACCTAGTGGGATGCAAGCAAAGGCATGGAGGTGAAACGTCTGTGGCAAAGGTGCTCAGCAAGTGGAATTGATGTCAATGAGTAATTGGAGATGAGAGGGAGGGTTCATTTTGTGAACATCTTAATTAACATGTTAAGGACTTTGGATTGCAAGCCCTGAACAAAAGAAAGCTGGGAGCCATTGGCTGTTCTTAAGTGGAGGAGTAAAGTGTGGAGGTCAGAGCTTTTGCTATACAATTCATTGACAGCATGGATTGTTGGGCACAAAGACTAAAGGCTGGGAACCCAGTTAGAAGACTCCTGCCAAAGCCCCTTTGGGAATTAGGGAAAGCTTGGAGAAGAGCAGTGGACACATGGAATGGTGAGAAAAGCATGTGGCTAGGGACATTACCTGACAGAAGTAGCTTTCCATGAAATTCATATTCAGACCTCCTTCTCTACATTCCCTCATAGAATTTCTTCTTAATGTTCCAGAGTATTCTTGACATGTCTCAGGCATTCCTGACATGTTAACTTCCTCTCTTAGTTCAACTCTCTCTCCTCCTCCCAGATCATGCATTTTTCTGCCATCATACTCATTTGTATAAACTCCTAAAAGTGTTGAACGAATTACATTTATTTTCTTTTGTCTATTATAAACTAAAAATCAACAACTTGATACAAATATACGATTTCTTCATTTAGATATGCATTTGTGAATAAAGAAATAAAAGATAACACATAAAGGAGATATTAATACACTATTGAGCTCAAAATAATATTATTAATCAATTTGTCAATTTGGTAATTATCTGTTAAGAGAGTACTATATTCTCTGCTGGAAGTGAAGGCTACAGAGAAATTAGAAAAATCTTTGTCTTAAAAAGTTTGATTTCAACATGAGGGAAATTGGAGGGAAAATATTCAAATTCTGAAAGTTAAAAAAATAGTGTAAGAATACCCTAATGTATTACCAGAAGCACAGGACATCCAGAAAAAGACATGAGAACTACTGGCTTTCAGAGAGAAGGTTATGGCTATGTGAGGAGAAAGGTTTTCATGAATCTTGGGTTTGCACTTGGATGTGAGGGGTAAATTGAACACTGTTACTCTATTTGAGGTAGGTACTCACTTCGGTAGCACATATACTAAAATTAGTACTATACAGAGAAGAGTAGCATTGCCACTGCACAGGATGATACACAAACTGGTCAAGTGTTCCCTCTTTTTTTAATTGAAAAAAAAAAGAGAAATATTTGAAGTAGATGAGAAAAAAATGATGGTCTGGACTGTGGAACTGCTATGGAATGAAGAATGTTGTCAGTGGGATAGGTACACATTGGCTTTAGTATGTGAAGGATCTTGAGTTTGGGAACAACATGTTTTTCATGTTTCAGTTGTCCTTGGTGCCTCCTATGGTGCTTTGCTCAAAATGTGTGCAAGTTTGTAGGCTAATGGGGACAAATGCATAAATAAATACTGATGGATGTGATGATCTGACAAGTCTTGAGAACTGATTCGGTGTCAGTGAATGTGAGTCAACAATGAGATTCTGCTTTTGAGGTGAGAAGACATTGGGGTTATTAATGAAAATGGACAATCAGGTGGAGAAATAGATTTAAAGACTGATGTTTCCAGTTCTTTGAATAAGGTCCAGTTCTACAAGTAATACACATTCCTATGCCTGTTGTATATTAGAGTTTAAAGTAGAAAATAATGGTTACTGTTTAAAAAGACTATGAGACAAATAAGCTAACCAACAGTAATTATTTACCTTAAGAAAAATAATGTGATACAACTATTTTTACAGATATGATTTTAATTGTTCTTTATTGTAGTGGTAGTTATCCACCTACTGTGAAATTCTAATTGTTCCCTGGTTTTTGCCTGTGAATTGGTCTAGACAACCATTTTAAGGCAAGTTGTATTCATGTAGTCTTACCCATGTGCGAGAAGAAACTCCACCATGTGCACACAATGTCAATTGAGAGCTTTGAAAGATTTGATAGTGTTTCAGCTACTTACTTTCAATGAAAGAAATTGGACAAATATCTTTTGGGTAATATTTATGATGATAAGGAAAATGAATGCAGTTTTTGCTTTGTTATAATAAGCAGCTAAAGTCAAAGCAATTTTAAATCCTTAAATTAATTGTGTATAAAGATTTTAGCCTCAATAAATGAGCACAGATTTATTTCATTTGGGTTTAATTCTAATTAACGTATATATGTGTATGAAATATGTGTGTTTATAATGAAAGTTGTTCCATGAAATTAAATGTCTTGACAAAAACTTACTCATGGTTACAATTCAGTACTTCTATATATAGAGAGATCCTAATTAAGTCACCTTCTAAGTACTCTTTGATGGTTGAGGAAAATTTTTAAAATGCAGCATCTAAGAATCATAATTTCAGTAGGTTTTTCCTTGCCATTTCATTTACAAATTAGTCATTTAAAAAAGAATGATATAAACACTTTTAAAGAAAAGTAAGATAATCAAAAACAATATGCAAAGAGAGAAAACAGACTGCCTCCTTAGTCATTTGAGTTGTTAAACAAAATTTTTTTTCTTACCTGAGTTGTCAACGAATTCGATCAGATTTGTAGCACCAGATATTGGTGGTACACAGACAGTGTTTGTAGGCTAAAAGACAGGAAACAACATTTCCATTTGTAATGACAAATGATTATAATCTTTCTATAGTTATACATTTGGTTTATTCTCAAATTATCTTAGATTTCCTAACAGGATACTATTTAAGAAATTCTGAAATATAGTTAAATTTGAACTTCATTTAGAAAGCCTTTTCTGGTTACTTCCATCTAATTTTGTTGGACTTTTGATTTCATTTTCCCCATTAGCTTTCTCAGCACAAAAAAACAGCATAGACTGTGAGTGATGGTGGCCATCTTGGTTCATGTGTAGAGACTGAATTTCAGTGACGACCAAAGGCTGTTTCTTAGAATGTTGCACTTACATCGAGCTGTGGTCCTTCTTCTGACCATACATGCATTGCTCCATCTGAACATTCGGGAACAGGCTCAAAGCCGCCTACACTACGAGTAGCAGCACCGTCACAATCACAACAGATCATCAAAAATGGGACCACTGGTGGTGGAAGGATAGTAATACTGGAGTTAGCATTGGATGCAAATGAAAAACAAAACAACCTGATTTTTTTTATGGTTAAATTTGAATTCCTAATATAACTGGTTGGTTCTAAAATTATGCAAGTTTCAGAATACAAGCTGAATAATGGTCAGACACCAAAGTAAATGGGAGCTTCTGTATTCTAGATTGCAGTCAATTTTAGTTTGTCTTATAGTTTTAAAAATTACAAATAGTAGGCCTGGCATGGTGGCTCCCACCTGTAATCCGAGCACTTTGGGAGGTGGAAGCGGGTGGATCCCTAGAGCCCAGGAGTTTGAGACAAGCCTGAGCAACACAGGTGAAACCCCATCTCTACAAAAAATACAAAAATTAGGCAGGCATGGGGGCTTCTGCCTGTAGTCCCAGCTACTCTGGAGGCTGAGGTGGGAGGATGGCTTGGACCAGGGAGCCTGAGGCTGCTCAACCAGGGAGGTGAGTGGTGGCTGTGCCACTGTACTACAGCCTGAGTGACAGAGTGAGACCCTGTCTCAAAAAAAAATTACAGATAGTATTACATTATTAAAACTGATGAATTTTTCCATGTCATTACTTAGAAAAATATTAGAGGAGAGAAAAAGGAAAGATGAAAAGGTCAGGCAATATATTCGATCCTTTGTATTCTCTCCTCCATGTCTTTATTTTCTTCCTTTCACATATGCTTGCCTTTATTGCAACATGAAGATCTTATTCATGCTTCCAACAACTCTCTATGAGGCTATTATTTCCCCCACACGAATGTCTTTTATTTCAGTAACCTTATACAAATAGAAAACATCACACTGATTAACACTGTCTTTTGCTGTTAATCAATTGGAGTTTTCTTATTTATCTATTTATTATCATTCTCTTGTATAGTATAATCTTGGTAAATGGTTTTGAATAAATGGATGAAAGAACGAATGTATAAATTAAAATTGTGGAGCAGGAAGAAAGGAAAAAAGAAGGAAGTAAATTAGGGAGGTGGGAAGATAGTAAGGATAGAAATAAGGGAGAGAGGGAGAGAATAAAAAAGAAAAAAAAGAGGAAAAGAAGTTCATGGTTGGTTTTCTGAAAATATACCAGAGAGTAAACTTTGGGTCTACAGGTAATGATGACTCTAAGGCCCATATATAATTTGTAAATCTTTTATTAGCTACAGTACCCAGAGGTGGTTGGCACTATGAAAAACCAACTCAGGCTGGGCACGGTGGCTCACGCCTGTAATCCTAGCACTTTAGGAGGCCAAGGCAGGTGGATCATGAGGTCATGAGATGGAGGCCATCCTGCCCAACATGGTAAAACCCCGTGTCTACTAAAACATACAAAAATGAGCCGGGTGTGGTGGCATCATTGCACTCCAGTCTGGGCTACAGAGGGAAAAGAAGCCAACTCAAAATGACAAATATTATTTATGATTATAGTAGTGATAACCAGCACTTGGATAATTAAGTTACTCCTATGAAATATTAAATTTAAAAATTTTACAATGTTAGTTGGTAATCAATATGAATAAAAAATAAAGAATGAACTCTTTTCATATATATTTTATGTTATATTCTTCAACTTCACTAGCATTTTTGCCTTTTTCTTGTCTTGGTGGTTCATTTTGATGAGAATGCTTTTTTCTTCTCTCTCTCTTTTCCTATTCCCTGTTTCATGGAACTTTTCCTAGTTATTACTTTAACTAACTATGAACCAATAAGAATAAACTCTTATTTGTTAGTGTAGAAATTTCATTTTTTGGAAATACATTTTAAATTTTGGCAACAGAACTCCAGCTCTAAGCTGTGTTACCTGCATGCCTAGATTCATTGAGGTGTGGATGAGCCATAATGTTGACTACAATGTTCAAAAAGGTGAGTTGTTTAAAATCAGGGAAAACCCAGTTTGCAAATAAATGTAGCAAAAAATGTCTATTGCTGTTCATGTAGTACGAGAAAGGAAAGTAGAATATATATATTGAGACAGAGTCTTGCTGTGTCACCAGGCGCTAGGCTGGAGTGCAGTGGCACAACCTTGGCTCACCGCAACCTCTGCCTCCTGGGTTCATGTAATTCTCCTGCCTCAGCCTCCCGAGCAGCTGGAACTACAGGCGTGCCACCATGCCCAGCTAATTTTTGTATTTTTCAGTAGAGACGGGGTTTCATCATGTTGGCCAAGATGATCTTGATCTCTTGACCTCGTGATCTGCCCGCCTCGGCCTCCCAAAGTGCTGGGATTACAGGCTTGAGCCACCACTGCCGGCAGAAAAAATATTTTATATGTAAGTGCCCTGACTTCACATTTTGTATATGTGTTCGAATTAAATATCTGAGGTACCTTCTGACATTCAGATTTTATCATTTCACATTTGAAAATGACAATGCTTACATTAATTGAATTGTAATGTGCAGAGTACAACCAACTGACTTTAGAGTTCCTGTTCGCATTTCTCAAAGACCGTGCCATGTGGCTTCTCTCGATCTAATTTCTATCATCATTTAAGGTAATGTTAAAAGTCATCTGAAGAATCCACTGGATTCTACCTTTATGGCTAGACCCTTGACTAGTGCTACCCTGGTGGCCATAGAACACGCTAAATACTTCATGTGTGGTACTTCTTTTTCATCATCAAAGCAATGTTTTAAGGTAAGTGTTATTTCATACACGACAAAAGCAAGGCTCAGAAAGGTTAGGTGACCTTTGGAAGACTCAGATAATTAAGCTTAGAAACCAGGGTTTAACCCTAGGTCTATTTGACTTCTCCTTTTATTTATTCTATGCAGTTATAGTATGAATAAAATCTCTTCAAGACCTGTCTCCTGCCTATCTTTTTAGTCGAAACTTTCACCAGCTGTCAGGCACATCTTTAATTTCTTTCACGTTGGAGATCTTCATTGCAGTACCTCACACTCTCATTCTTTTGGGTTTTTGCACATAGATTTTTTTTTCTTTGTATTGTATTCCCTTTCTCTTGTTCATCAGGCTAACTCCTATTCATCTTTTAAAATGCAACTGAGGGTTTACTTTTTTTCTGTAGCCTTTTCTTTTTTCTTTCTTTCTTTCTTTTTTTTTTTTTTTTTTTGAGACTGAGTTTGGCTCTGTTGCCCAAGCTGGAGTGCAGTTATGTGATCTTGGCTCACTGCAACCTCCCCCGCTTCCTGGGTTCAAGCCATTCTGCTTCAGCCTTCCAAGTAGCTGGGGTTAGAGGTGCCTACCGCCACACTCTGCTAATTTTTGTATTTTTAGTAAAGATGGGGGTTTCACCATGTTGGCCAGACTGGTCTTGAACTTCTGACCTCAAGTGATCTGCCCACCTTGGCCTGCCAAAGTTTTGGGATTACAGCCATGAGTCACTGCATCTGGCCCTCTGTAGCCTTTTTTGATTGCCTTCTTCACTGAAATAGCAATTTGAGCCTACTTGTTATGGCACTTTCCTGTTACACTGAGACTTAATGCAAATAAATTTTTACCCTCCACAGTCCTATAAGAGGTCAAGAAGTTTTTTTCATCTTATAAACCCAGTGCCAAGCATGGAAATTCCTTGATAATTGCACAAATCGAGAATTTGTGAAACATGTTTTATCAAAGAATCAGAAAACTTATCTTCTCCCTCACCATTTTTTTTGGTGGACACGTATACGTCAGATTGCTAAAGTACTTACATCCTAAGACCAAGAATCCCATGATGAGTAGTCCAATGCCAGCAGGACCAAAATGTACGTTGTCTGAGATTACTGCAATCCCATTAGGTCCTTCGAGTGTATTTGTGTTGCTTCCTTGCTGAGTGGAAGTATCGTCTCTGCTAGCATTGGTATTACTTCCAGTGTTCGTATTTGTATTATCATCTGTGTTACCACCTGCGTTTGTAGTAGTATCACTGTGACTGAAATCAAAACCTTCCATGTTAATATTTATTGTACCGGTGCAAGTTCTTTGAAGATCATCTGTAATAATGTTCAAAATAGAAGAAATATTTTAGATATTTAGCATCATAATGGTTGGACAATACAGAATTTTTTTTACATCAATATTTATTTTAATATCTTTATTCTCATAATTTCTCCTAACTTGCTAAATCATCCTTGTTTTTGACTCAGTTTTAAAAATCAACTAAATTATTACATTATTATTATAAATAACATTATTAGTCATAGTAATACTATTTATTGGATTTTTCCTTGCATTACTAATATTTGAATATTATATATAATTTGAAAAGATAGAATTACAGAAAGAAGCAAAACAAAACCAGAAACCAAATTCATGGTAGCAGCACCCAAGGACAACCCCTGCTGGTATTTTTTTAAATGATCTTTTGATTTTAATTATAATGCTGAATGCTTGCTTATTATTTATGTTACATTGATGTGATCATATGGTTCATTTCATTTTTTTACTTCAATTTTTTTACTTTAAACTGTAAGTATTATTTTACATTTTAATAAACTTTTTATTAACAGAGTTCCTGATGATTATATAATTTTATATCAAATGTATCATGGTTTACTTACCCAGTTGCCTATTTTTTATATGGGTTTCAATATCTAATTATTAGTGTTGTAATTAACATCTTGTGCATTCAGCCTATTATATTTTAACTTTTCCTGAGGTTATTAAACGTGGAATTATTCAGCAAAAATACAGGAATAATCTGTTTGAGGTTATTTTTGTAATCTTTATTACATATATGTGAGCTCAGTTGTCTGACTTCATTAATTGATGTAACCCTAGAATCTGGCACAGTGGCTGACATTTAGTTGGGACTCAATATACACTTTCTAAATAAACGAATAAAAACATTTCTGGAAGTATATAACAGAAGTATGTTTAAATCCAGTCTATATGATATCAAAACTCATGACTTTCTGCTCAACTATGCTAATCCTGTTGTTTTGTTTTTGTTGTTATTTCTATCATTATCGTTGCATCCTTTTAAACCTATATTGTATTATTCCATTTTAAAGAAGCAATAACAGGTATAGATGATTAAATAACTTCTCTAAGATTCTATAGCTAGTAAGTGATGGTAGAAGACACTAATCTAGTCTCATTTGAGGACTCACGGTCTTAGCAACTAAATTATACTGCCTCAAGTAGTTGAAGTTATGAGTCTATAATGCCCAATGAGACAACTTTTGTTGGAAAGCAGTTACTTTAAAATATGATAATTAAAATTTTAATATATTAAAGTATATGCAGCTTTATCTAGAAAAGATAAAAATGTAAATTGATTTATTACCATCTATGGAGAGAATTGTTCCTTGGTATTTTCCCCCAAGCATATTATATTGGTCCCTGGTAACTTTATTTTTCAAAGTGATTATGCCTGTTCTTGAGTCAACAGCTAGCAGGTCAGCTGGATTATTTCCCATTACATATCTGTATTTAAAAGAAAATGATACAAATTAATGTCAGGTCTCTAAAAAAATGAGAAGAAATTTTAATTTAGAATGTATTTTTTCAGTCAGTAGTTATAACCCCTGGATATAGTTTTCAGTTACTAGAAAAGTAATTACTGAGCACCCGTTTCTTATGGAATGTCCTTTTACACCCAGTTGGATGTCAGAATAATACTTTGATTCTTGGATCTCATTTTCATTTGATTTAGGTAGCAGCGGAACGATTACAGAACACTTAGATCCTGGGATTTCCTGGGCTGCTCCTAATCCTATTCTTTCACAAAGAAGTTGCTTCATCAGCGTGGCCTACACTTTCCCTATTTCCACTCCTACTCCCTGCATGCACTAGAACGTGACAAGGCCTCTTTTGAATTCCAAACTATGGCCTTCCCTTGATCCTCTATTCTATTCTTCTTTTCATCTTTGACTTCTCTGTTTTCCTTCTCATCTACTACTTGTGAAACAAACAGTATTAGATAATATTCTCTCTCTCTTTTTCTCTCTCTCTGGCATTCTGCTAAGTTCTGGGTTGGGGCTACCCTCCGTGAAGTCACTCCTACTGGGTAAAAGAAAGCTCATCAGCAACGTGGTACAGTGTGACAGGACCTCTAACAGAACTACTCACGCTGTGTGAGGAGAACACCAAGAAAGAACTTTCAAAACACATGGGTGGGCTGGGCGCAGTAGCTCATGCCTGTAATACAAGCACTTTGGGAGGCCAAGGAGGGCGGATCACATGAGCTCAGGAGTTTGAGACTGACCTGGCCAAGGTGGCGAAACCTCTTCTCTACGAAAGCAAAAATTAGCCAGGCATGGTAACAGGTTCCTGTAATCCCAGCTACTTGGGAGGCTGAGGGAGGGGAATCGCTTGAATCCGTGAGGTGGAGGTAGCAGTGAGCTGGCATCGCGCCACTGCACTCCAGCCTGGGTGACAGAGTGAAACTCCATCTCAAAAAACAAGCAAGCAAACAAACAAAAAACCCAAACAACAAAAAACACCTGGGTGAAGTGCTTCTCTCATTCTTCTGGTCACAGTCACATATGCAAATACAGGTACATGTGCATGTGCAGTTTTTTTTTTTTGTGATTAGGTGGAAATATTTCCATAAATATAGTTTTAAAAAATGACATAACATAATTTTCCTTAATATAAATAATTTTTCACACCAGTGTTATTGACCAATATTAAATGCTGAATAAAGTGAAGAATATAACTGAAATGAGCTAACAAAAATCTAATTGATTTCAAGCTGGCAGATTTGCAGTAGGGAAATCATTTCTTAAACTCTTCTGAGGGACTAATCACAGCCTGTGGTGATCAACTAATTGATCAATAAGATACAGAAACACAGGAGTGTTGATATTTTTGAGATATATTATTTTTACATATCTCATCTTTACATTTTAACATCTTACATCTTGCATGAATTTTTATGTTTTCTTAAGTTACACATTTTAAATTAATAACAGTTTATAGTAATTTTTACAATTAAATCATAGTTTGAAAAATAATGAAAAGTATTTTAACTCAGATATTTATAATCTCTAAAGAGAATATATGTACTTAAGTTCAATATGTGAGGAAAACTAGTTGTAAATGTTATTCTTACCTAGCAGTTGTTGAAGGTCCATTTGTGTCCTGGTCCGTAGCTATAAAGTCTCCCACTTTAGAGTTTGCTCCCATATTACCAGTTACTATGTATGTCTTTGAACCTGGACGAAACACTGGGCCTTCACGTTGATTTAGCACAGCCACAGAAATTGCAGTTGCTGTCAGTTTATATTGAGACATAATTGAATGATGAAATTCAGCTTTATTTCTGACGCCAATACTGAGTTGCAGATTATTCACAGCTTCATAATCTAAGGGCTAGAAAATAGAGTGAAATAGTTTTATTATAAGAAGAGAAAACGTTCCAGATGAAAGAGAAATCCTTTGATAATAGTAAAAAAAAAACCCTTATTCTCTTTCATTATGAAACATAAATGCACACAAATACATAATCTATTCTTAAATTTTTAATCTTTAATTCATGTAAATTTGTGCAAATAAACAATTCAATTGCCTAGATCCATTGTTGAAAAGTTGAAAACATATGACATGAGCTTAATTGTTTCCCAAACAAATTAAAAACTTAAAATAATACAGATAGTCAAATTTTACATATTTTCTAGTGCAAAGACAATTTACCCTACTTTTAAGCATTTTATGTTTCTCAGAAAGTAGCTATTTATTACACAGTATGGATCAAATATATTAGAAGGTCAATCATTTGAATGGTTTTGTCCATAAGAACTATTTAGAAGAAATTTCACATCTGTAAATGTGACTCTGAACAAGACAGATAATAGAATGTAATATGTGTATAATATATTTACTTTCTTCAACATGCTTTAGAAAAACTTATTTCATAAAATAGTCAAGTGGTGATTTTTTTAATGAAAAAATGATATTAATATCCACAGCACATGAAATGCACAAACAACTATGCCTTTAGAGCCATACATACCAAATAAATTTTTCTAAATTTTCACAAAAGTAATTTAGATAAAAATAGAAATTCACACATTGAGCTCTCCTATGTAGCTAAAATGTTGAATCTTTGTTCTAATGTTGGCTTTATTTGCAATTCAAAGTCAAATGTATATATACATTACACACCCATAAAATACATATGTATATAATTATAACAAAAAATTTAATATATGATATGTCTGGGCAAACAATTATCATTCTCATTTTACAGATGGAGATACTGAGGACAGATAGGTTGAATAACTTTCTGAAGTAATATAATAGTTTGGGGCAAAATAGATTAGACTCCAATTTCCCCAGTATTGAATCCTAAATAGTATCATGGAAAGAATGTGAACTTCATATCTAGAGAAAACTAGGTCTAAGTGTTGGCTGCACTACTTACTAGCTATGAGAACTTATGCAGGTTCTGTGCTCTCTTGGAGCTTCAATGTCTTTATCTGCAATATGGAAATAATATAGACTAATTAGCAAGGATGCTGTGAGGGATAAACTAAAGCATCTGCATACTGTCTCAAGTTAAATACAAGCTGTAGGCATGGTGACACTTTAAGAAGACACAAGAGGCAAAAAGCCATACATTCCTATGGGGACCGAGTAGTTTGAGAGTCTGTTTTCCAGGCCTATTCTGGAAAAAACAAATAGTTAAATAGGGATTACATTTTACTATAAAAATACATATTGCTTGCAACATATACAATCCATGCACAGCTGTTGTAGATTTAAAAAATTGACTCTACAAGTTGTGTAGCACAGGGAGAAACTTTGACTATCAGCTCCCTAGGGGGCGGTTTTTTTTCTCACATCTCAGATGAAATTTTACTGCAGGTAAATGTGGACCATTAATATATAGAGGACGTAAGACAACGGTGCTGGACCAGTTGATTTAGATCAAATTTCCAGCATATCTGTGTTCCTAAAAAGCCTTGGTCAGCAGCCACGGTGAGATGGGGTTGATTATTCTACATTTATAGTAATTTAACTTAAATTTTATAAAAACACACTGGAGGAATAAACACATTTTCATTTATATGATGAATATTCTACATGTGTGGCAACTGACTTACAATGTTGACATGAACACATTTTTAAAGCCCCTATTAAATCTGCTTTAAAAACAATTCTTAAAACATTAACCTTAAAATTTAATTATACTTTATTTTAAGTGTAAAATACAATTTTTTAAGGTGCTTTCAATTTATATAATCTATTTGGGAGTACTGTATTGATAAAATGCTCAAGTTAAAATTCAATGCCTGTTCTTCTGAAATGACTGTAAGCAGAAAGACTATATTGAAAAGCCTGGCAACAGAGCAAGACTTTGTTTTTTTTTGTTTTGTTTTGTTTTTAAAAAAAACCCTCCATGTTATGTATAAATTTGAAACACAGTAATTTTATTCTTTTAGTGAGTCAAGTTTGTGAAATGTTGGCATCATTTTATTTTAAGCTTAACATTTTGAAAACAGATTAAGAAAACAAAATATTTAGGATAATTACACCATACCTTAACAACCTTTAAAATTCCCACATTTGTTCTTTCATTCATTTCTATGTCAAACCAATTTCCTTCATTTCCAGAGATAAAGAAAATTACTCCCATCCAGTTAGCTGAGAATTCTTCATCCAAATCAATTACTCTAATCTCCATCAAATTTGTATATAGAGTATTTTCTTCAATTTTTATGGAAATCTGAAACGAGAAGTGAAAACTCTTAGCATCAACTGTGTGAAAGAGAGAAGAGCTATAGTAGGCTTGTACTGGAATGTTGATAACTTCATTATTTAGAAAAGCTACCCATGCTTTTAACCTCATTTTTCATTGCTTAAATCCATTTATTCTTGCATAAACACAAGAAAAAGGTATGTGTCTACATTTGGGTTGTATGTCAATAAATATAACGTGCCTCTGTGAACAGAATTGTTAGTATATGTTTTAGAATGCAGTGAATTTAGAGTTATTAATTTCAAGAACAAAGACTTACTTCAGGCAGTACCAAGTAAGGGATGTTGTCATTGACATCGAGGATTTTAATGCTGCACTCACACTCTGCTGACATGCCATCTGCCCCACCATCTCGATCAGAGCCTCTTACAGCAAGAGAATACTGGCCGTATTGCTAAAAATACATATTGCAAGCAATATCACACTTGACATAGAAAGCCTTTACTTTGTCTTACGCAAAGTTCTTTTAAATGTTAGCTCAACATTTACATAAATCTATTATAGAAGTAGGGTTAACACAGACTATGGAAAATCCACAAATTTCACATGATTATTCCCAATAATGCTTATCATGCATTATATAAAAGATGGAACACTTTTTAAAAGGCTTCATTTCTTATTAATAATAGTATGTCCAGAGGTTGAAAAAGTTAATAAAGGGTAAAACAAACCAGAATGATCTCAAAGAAAGAGATTAAGTTTACCAAAAGTTTATGGCATGAAAATTCCATACCCTAAATAATCAGCCCCCGAGTATGCAAAAAGCATATAAAGAGATAACAAAGGTTTGTGTTTTGGGAGGTAGTGGATTGTGGCAATGGAGTTACCGGTGATGTATCTATTCTTGACTCTATTCAATGGTGCTTACATTCCTAGAAGCTGGTAAGAGCTATGGAGGCTTTCTTTGACTCATGCAAAAATGCACTCATTCAAAATGATGTTTATAATTTAGGGAGTTTTATAGAGACGTCTTGAGGTCTCTCCATTGACCCCGGGTTGAGAATATCTGCTCTAGTGGCTTCCCAATGCCTGCAGAGTCTCTTTCCTTTTGACAGCCCTTTCTTACAGTGCTTTGCCACTAAAGCTCTTTCGACACGGAAGAAACCCCATTGGGCTGTTTAAGAAAGTTTGAGAGAGAAAAAGCTAAACATTCAATTTCTTCTAATGTTAATTTTCAAACACATATGAAAGAATACTTAGGTAGCCTAGAAACTTATAACATTTAGGTAATTAAAGAGTATTAAAATAATATGTATTTTATATAAAATGTATGTATTTTATATAAATGTATGTATTTTATATAAAATGTATGTATTTTATATAAAATAATATGTATTATAATATTTAGGTAATTAAAGAGTATTAAAATAATAAATAAACCTAAACATCATTGGCAAGGAGATTGTCATTTTAATAACTAAAACAAAATTAACAGAATACCATCAGAACATAAAGTTTCCTCACTTATGTCCCTAATGTACATATAGGTCAGCAACATTCTATTAAAAGTTAGTATTTTTTAAAATAATAAAAAAGTAGATATCTTAAAACTAAATCATGAAATCACACATCATGCTGGAAACCTCATAATGCTGATTTTACTCTGTTAACAATCACTAGTTATTTTCTTATTTGTAAATAAAAAGATCGGTCAGGCTGTTATTTAATTCCTATCCATCATTCTTATTCTGTGGTTCCTTTCCCAAAGTAAATGAACGGGTGGGCAATCAGTAGATGTTACATAGGAAAAACAAGAGTTCTGTTGTCAATGGAGCTGAGATCTGCTGGGTTGAAGAAAGAGAGCTTAGTGTGTAAATATTCTTGGAGCCTCCAGCATACTCACATGCATTGTAGCTCACCAAGATGTGGACATACAGCAAGTGTTTCCTAAATTCATTTCATTATAGAACACGTTCTTTAGAGAAATGCAGCTTTGACTCTACCTTAAGCATATTTTCATGTACTTTCACAATCTAGTTTTCTTTAATTGAAGCAAATTTTAATTAATATTATATGAAAAATGCCAGTACAAATTGTAATCGAAAAATCCCCCTTTTTTCAATTTAAAAATGTTTCTTACATGAAAGAATCATGTGAAAAAGTTGTACTTTTTTCTCTTCAGTACCCTTGCTTTTAGAATCAATTTCTTTGCGACTAAAAACCCCCTTATAGAAAAAGAATTACCTCTCTGTCTAGGAAATTATTCATCGTTCGAATTTCTCCAGTATATCTGTTGATAATAAACATTGGTGCATCTGCGGGTTCTTGTCTTATAATCTTGAAGGCTATTTTTGAGTTCAAATTGTTTGGTTCATCTGCATCAGTAGCATTGAGTATCATCACCAGTGTATCTGGAAATCAAGGAAAATTGATTGTAAATGGGCAATTTACATTTTTGTTACATTATAGCATATCACCTTTCCAAAAAGTATTAGAGTTACTGGATCCATATAATGTGGACTTCACTGTTTTCCCTTTCTACTCCTTCTACCTATGAATAGCTTAGCTCCTTTATATATCTTCGCTTAATAAAAGGATCACATTTTACTAGGAATCTAGGCATTGCTGATAACTAGGAAACAAAGGAAATGTGTTATTCTGGCTTTCTATTTTTTCTTCCAGTACATTTTCTTATTTTTTAAAAGGATGCTATGGTGAAACCAAATAATAATAAGACTAGACCAACATTTTCCCAACTTTCTCAACACTTTCTAGCTATAAAAGCGTGGCCTTAGTTTCCATATCTATAAATGGGGATAATATTACTGCCATCGTCACTGAATTCATGTGAGAATTAAATAATTAATAAGAGAAAACTATATAAAGTTTCTAATGAATAAGGCACACTTGATAAATATACATTATTACTGTTTTGTTTTGGGTGATCCTTTGTTAAGTGCAAGGTAACTAGTAGATCTAAAGAAATGCTTGTTGAAGTACATACGTTATCTTGTCTCATCATTTTCATTAATTTTACAAGTAGTTTTGATGAAGATTATTGGATTATTGGAGATTGTGAAAACTGCCAGTTCTCATTCATAAGTTTGGAATTCTTCTCTACTGTCCAACTCCATTTCAAATACAATTTTCCTACAAATGATCCAGGACATCTCTCATCCCCCACCTGGATTCATTGTAGCATAATTTTAAAAATGTTTTCACTAGATAATTAACATTTATTTACACTTACATAATTTATATAATTAAATTCCATTGTAACTATTGAAAGCAGTGAAAAACTCTACATGTTCTGATGTGAAAATAGGTTCAAAATATATTCTTATAAAAATTCATGTTGTGGATTAGTATGTAACAGATGATAACATTTATGTTCAAAAACATGTTATTTATGTTTACATAATTATGGAAAGCATGTACACGGTGCATACCTTTGAAGAATGGTATTAGAAAATGCAGACAACAGATTTTTGTTCCTTTTTACTTTTATATTACATAAATTTAATGAGCATTTTTATAATGACATTTTAAAAAGTTCAAAGTATAGGTGCAGTATTTTAATGAATAAAAGTAAAGTGTAGGGATTTTTGGAATTTACAAGAAATTTTATCACTTAAAGGTTAAACCACAAAATGAAGTTTTGTGTGGAAGTGATTTCTATAAGTGATTTTAAAGTATGTAACTTTAAAAAGGAAAAAAATGATGCAGTATGAGCAGAAAGGGGCGTGATTGTCCTTCCACACAGTTAGATTGGGAGGCTAAATTCACATCCCAATGCCCCTGCCACCACTGTGCAAAATGCCTTTAAAATTTCTTGTTAGGACTCTCCTGCAGGACTGGTCTGAGAGTTACATGAGAAAATCCTCCTCATTGCTTTGGAAATGCTCCTTGTGTCTGTCAGATTGGAGCCGCTTCCATAGTTGAAGGGAAAGACTTTCTATTCTGCATCTTTTCTCTAGCTCATCTCTTACATTCATGATGTGTACTTTGACATAGTTTAGTCTCCTGTTAGGTGCCTGGCTGTTAGGAGTGGTTTGGAAGCCACTATATTACTTACTTGCATTAGAATTTTCTTCTATTTGTCCTACAAATGTAGACATTGAAAATACTGGAGGGTTGTCATTTATATCCAGAACCCTGACTCTGAGCTCTAGAGGCCTCTCTAAATCTTGGCCCATTGAGTTCAGAGCTCGGCAGTAGATCTGGGAGAGAGAAAAGAAATAATTACTTGGTGAAACACAGATTTATTAAGTTCTGACTTTGAGCATTATGCTAGCACTGTGGGGAATTAAAAGAAAAAAGATATTATTATTACTTCTAACTAGAACACAAGTGTTCTAACTAGAACAGGCAGTGTGAATGAACACTGCAAATATTGATTATTATTTGAAGGTGTTTTGAGATATGGATTGATGAGGTTTTAATAGAAGAGGTAACAGGAGCAAAGTAAGGTTTCTTTGTATCTATTTTTTATATTAAGAAGTGTGTTGGGCATGATCATAGAAGGAAATTCGAGTAGCCAAGGAGCCAGCAGAAGGCAGACAGAAAAGCAGAGGTGATGGAGTAAGATTCCCCAAGAAACTGGTAATTATAGGAAGATGGAAATGTCTTGGAATATGCTTCAGGAAAAAATAACAGCTGATCCTGCTTTTGGATTTAATGAAAAACATTTCTGAGCTGGGAGAGAGAGAAATAATTGTGGGAGGTTATGATGGATGGCTTCAGCCTTTTTGGTGAAGTTGGTCACCAGGTCAACTGCTTAAAGTGGAAATGAGGTCGAGAATTTGAAAAGTTAGGATACTTAAGCTATGTGACAGCTCCTGTAAAGAATGGAGTGAGATTCACTTAAGAATCAACTAATTTTCAAGGTGCATTAGGAGCTCAGGTGAACTTGAGGAATATGAATTTATAATAAAGTATCTTTGCTCAGAAAATAGTCCTGCAGGAGCTCCAGCACCATTACTTCACATTAGACTTAAAAGAAGCTAACATTCTCTACTGAATTAAAGGAAAAGAGAAAATTGAAAAGGCAATTTATCCTTCCAAACAAATACTCTAGTTTGCCAGTGAGGACAGACTAAAGGCTAGCATTTTTGCTGACATTTAAGTAAAACATTTTCTCTCTTAATCTTTGCATTTTTTTTTTGGTTATGGGATGCTCGTGAATTAAGAAACAACCAAAAATGCCAAATATTGAGACTCTTGAAATCGAATTAAGTATTATCTGAGATTAAGAGTTTCCAAGAAGAATTAAGCCTGAACATATATATTCACATGAAGTCCACTTACAATGAAGAAAGGAGTGACCTCTCGATCAACTATGGATGTTATATTAATTTCACCAGTTTTTTGATTAATGACAAAGATTCCATATGGTGGTTGATCAATTCCTACTCCAGAGATGCGGTAGGTAACTTGCTGGTTTGCAGCACAATCTGAGTGAATCTGCAAAAGGAATACAAGTAAAAATATTACAAAGAGCAAATAGAGTTCTATGTCTGATGTATGACAGCTTTCTTGAGAGTTGTTGCATGTCATGATCTTGTTATCATTTAGGAAATGTTGACAATGGAGAATTATTTTCCTAGATGAGAGTAACAATTAACAGCTCTAATATTTTCAATGGTAACTGACAACGTAATTAAAGAAATTCAGTTTCTACTTAAACAAGAGAAAAGCAAAATACCACTCTACAATATCTAAGTCTATGCAATCATCATGCATATCTTCATTCATTCAGCAGTTAAAATCTGATCTCGTATTATTTGCATGGTCTGTGCTTGCACTGGAGCTACAGTAGGAAAATCCTTGCCCTCTTAAGGAGTTTACCAATGTTGTCATTATGCAACTTTGATCTTCAATGTTTTTAAATGTAAAGTTTTTGAAGAAAGTTTTGAGTAGATTGCTGTAGGTGACTAGAGTTATCTGAGTTTGAGTGGAAGCTCTTAATTCTCAAAATGGGGAGGATGCATTAGTGGAAAAGGAAGGAGACCATGCAAATAAATGTTTATAGAAACCAGAATTCTTTATTTGAAATAAAATATTGTTTGGTTGTAAACAAATCTTAGTGGGGCGTCAGTGTGAGTGTCTGTGTGAATGTATGTGTATATTTGTCTCTGTATCCGTGTACTATATATCTGTATGTTCATGAATCTGTAGGGGGATGGTTCTAAGTGTGTGTGTATATAGAAAGAAAGTTACAGAAAAATGAATAGAAAAGGGGTATGAGAGAAGGCACTTTGTAAATGTTAATAAACAAACAAAAAGTAGAAATTCAATTCTAACACATAGTGAGGGAAAAAGAGCATGCATTGAAGTAATTCCTTTGAATGCACTGAAAGCCAAACTCTCTATTTAAATAATGATCTTTTTACATCTAGAGTTTGGGATATCACATGATCATGTATATGCCTTTCACAGTGAGGCGAGTCAGTATTTTAATGTTTCTCTGAGTGCCTGCATTTCTTAATTTGTCCTTAGGAGTTCCCGTTTTCATCATGTAGCTGACAATAGTTCTGTTCTGAATGGTAGCTTCTCAGTGAGACATGTTCATAAAATACTTAAAAGGCAGTTAGAAACTGTATCCATTCTGATTTTCACTGTTATGCTTTGGAGTTGATACCTTGGCGATTGGGTTTCTTTTTGAGTTGTCTTCACCTTCACGACAGGCCGCCGCGAACTTGATCCATTCACGTTTCTGCCTTCGGATTGAATGCCACTTGATGGTGCCATTTTTAGTGTTATAATCTCTTACCTTGAATGAGAGTAATAAAGAGATGGTATATATTAATTTAAATTCGTATTCCAAATTCCACTCAGATTTTTGGAAGAGGATATAATGTCTGAAGTAGAGGACGTTTAATTGGGAAAAGTGGTAATTTTGATCATCTATTAATTTTAGCATGATGTGAACTTTATAAGAATAAATTTTCTTCAGAAAATATATTGTTATTTTCAAATTATATTCCTGTTTAAAACTTTGGAAGAAATGGATTTGTTATATTTACCTGGACTCGGAATTCACTGTTAACTTCTATCACCACCTATAAGAAATAAGATAATCACACTAGTTATTTTTTAATTAAATGCTTTAAAATTCATATTATTCCATTACTTCAATAAAGATATAAAACCATAGGCTTGTGAGTCATTATATTTTATCAGTCTATATAGCAGGTAGATCTTGTTTATGTCTTGGGTCTGATGATGATGCTAAGAATTTTTGATTTTACCGTTCAACTTACTCTTCTTTTTATGAATTCTATTTTTATTTTATTTTTATTTTTAGCCATGCAGATACTTGTTATTACATGGGTAGAATATTTGAAGCTAGAACTCAAATAAAATGTGGTCAGAAACTCAGGCTGTCTTAGTAAATCTTGTGCCCAAAGAGCTGAGATCTCTAAGGCTATTCAGTAATATTATAAAATAAGTCAAAATCTGAAAACATTCGAGTATAATTTCAGGATTTGACTAGCCACAGATGTAAACAGAAAAAAAGTGTGTGTAGGGTAGAAAAGATATGAAGCAGAACAATATATAGAAGGTTTCAGAATATTTAATCCCTCACACTCTAATTCTAGATTAAAATTTCCTTGTGTACTGGCGGATTTTAAGTTGAAGTTTTTCACCTGCTTCGAAATATGAAAATAAAAGGTTCTAAAGGAAAAACATTTGCCTTTATGTAAAAATGAACTAGTTGATGTTTTATCTTTAGCTCTGAATGAAACAGATGTTATAAATGCATCCTTCCAGAGCACGGAGAGGCAAATGCAGGAGTATAGGGACAAGTTGCTGGGAATGTAACCTCCTTAGTCTCTTCTCTTGCATTAAACAATTTCCCTAGATAAACAAGTATGTTAGTCAAGCTGCCTAGTTACAGCTCTCGCTGTAATCTTTATACATGATTTGCAGGGAAAAATGGGAATAATTTTAATTATTTTCCCTAAAAGCCATAGGCTTTTCTGAGAGCACAGGCATTTACATATGGAGTTTAATACATTCATATACCTGTTTAAGACATTGTAAAATATGCCTAAAAATTAAGTGTGGATTGGAGGCTAGTTTGCATTTATTAAGTTTTAAGTTATATTTATAATTCATTAAAGATAGTATAAATCCTTAATTTGTATTTCCCCCTAAATAAGAATTTTAAACTTCTAATTGAATTTATTCAGAATTGCAAAATATGAAAAACTTTATTTGTATCATTGATATAAAAAATTATAGTTTGCATTTAAGAATACTAACAATAGTAACTTAAAAATACAAAAAAAATTTTTATAGTTGATTTTAATTGCATCATTATAGAAAATATAAAATTAATGTCTCTAAGTACCTACTTTAAAAAAATTGCCACAATAGTTAATTCAGAAAATAAATACTTATGATCAATATGAGAAGTGTAAAAAATTAATGTTTTTATTATAATAATTACATGTCCATTGTATATTTAATATTAATAATTATGATTGTTATTACTCCTAATTTATTGAATAATAACTAAGTACTAGGTAATGTATAAATCTATGCATTTAATCTTCACAGCAAATACATATGGTCACCACTAATAGTATCAACATTTTTCAGATGAGGAAATTGGATTTAGATATTAATCTATGGCTAAATGCAATTCAGTACAATTCAGAATAATTTGCACTTGAGTTGTGAGTTTTACAATAAAATATGAGATAGCCTATTCCCTCAAGTAAATTACTATTAAGTAAAACATGCTGCAAAGAGTTGATATTGCAACTTTAAGAACTCAAAAAATTCTGATTTTAATCTATTATCTTTGTGATTGGTAATATTTATATATAACAACAGTAATATAGCACAAAGAAAAAAAGAAAAGTACATGGCCCAAAGTTTAGGTCACGTTATCTGTAAAGTTCACCTTGGGTGCAGAACTGAAATGATGTTAATATACATGCATACTCCTTGCTACCTGTGCGTTTATGAACATTTTCCCCTCTCTCTTGCTTGTGAGCGTGGGATGAGAGATGGGCATACCTTACTTGTCTGTTTGACAGCCATTTCTTCATAGCTACAGAATTGTGTGTGCATCTGCTATCTGTTGTTGCACTTCCCTTACTGCATTGGCACATCAGTGCTTGCTGTTTATTTTGGAAAACTATGCAGATGACTAAGAAATCTTTCCAGCTTTATGAAGCTGGGTCATTCTTTTTCCCATGAGAGACAAGCTTAGGCAGAAGACCAAGTAAGTTTCCCCATACTGTCAGACTCGCAATTGGATTTGTAATTTAAAAACTGCCAAGTCTGCTTAAAAATGTGATGGGTTGGTGTAAGCTTATTTTCTGTTGCTCAGAGTCTAGAATGAATTCTGATACAAAGTCACTCTTGGACTTTCAAGGGAAAAATAGTGAAATCTGACTATTGATAGAGTCGGAATACCTTCAAAGTATATCCTCAATTCTCTGAACTTTCATTTTTTCACTTGTAAAATGACAATAGTAGACTAAATTTTATACATGTAACTTTCCAGCTCTAATATTAAATACCTGTGTGCAGTAGGAAAATATTGAAGTATTTAGATTGTGGGAAGGGCATGATATAATTGCGGTGTTAAAGCTTACTCTGACAACAGTTGGTAGAACTAGTAGGAAGAGGCAGTGATTACAGACGGTGGGCAGTTGAGGGTCTCTTTATTAAAGCAGACTAAAGTTGAGGAGGAGGTAAGCTGGAGCAGAGGCAGAGGGAATGAATGGGGAAAAATCAAAGAATACTGCAGGACAGCATTTAGCAGGGCTTGAGAACAAATGGGATGGGGTTGTTCAAGAAAGAGAGGAAGCTCAGGAGATGGCAGTTTTAAACTGTGGGACTGGGAACAACACAGTAACAGAATTTAGCCAGATTAGAACACATTGAGTTTGAGATGCCAGATAATGCCCAGGTGAAGATGATCAGCAATTGGAAACATGGATCAAAAGTTGAGCAAAAGTTCCAGCTGGATATGTAGATTTGAGGTACATCTTCTCAAGCAGGATAGTTGAAATCATGTGAGAATTTGAAATTCCTAAAGTAGAGGATACAGTCAAGAAACAGCCTGCAGCTGAGGATAAATGTAGAAGAAGTCTTACATTTATAGAATGAGAAACAAGGACAACAAACAAACAAACAAACAAACAAACAAAGGAGAGAAGGAGTGCTGAAAGAAAGGATAGGAAAATATAATGTATTATAATTGAGGCCACAGGAAAGGATAATAGAAAGACAGATGGGATTGAAAGAGATGATATAGAAAAGTTAGGCGGAGTGAATTCTGATGAAATCCTGAGGTTCTGAGGGGACTTCAGGAGAATATTTTTAGCTGGATGGAGCATGCAGCTGTTTCACAGCAAGGGATTAGGGAATAACAGGTGGAGAGGAGGACATAAAGATGGTCACTTTTGCAAGATACTGGTGATAAAAGGGAACAGAGGTAGATGACCTAAGTCTACCTAAGTCTACCTAACATGGTAGACTTAGATCTAGCATTCAAGGACATTTTTTGAGAAAGAGAAACCTAAGGATTTTTAGAGGCTAGGAGGAGAATTTGATTTAAAAGAAGAGATGTTCAGAAAGAAGATTCTCCTAGAGGTGTGATGAAAAGAGAAGGAGAGGATGGGCAGAAAAAGAAAGAACTTCAAAGACAAAGGCAAGGAAGAGAGGAAAGATAAAGATTAAAATCAATCAATTAGGAAAGGGCAAAATTGGAAGACATTATTTTAAATGACCTAGACCTTCTCCCTGCAGTAAGGGTGAGGTCGATGGAGATTAAAATCAATCCATTAGGAAAGGGAAATCGGAGGACATTCTCCTAAATGACCTAGACCTTGTCCCTGCAGTAAGGGTGAGGCTATTTTTTGGCAATTAGGGGAGAAGTTTGGATTCAGAAATGAGTTTGGAGTGTGTGCTAGGGAGGCTGTGATGGAGACTTACCTAGAGATGAACACAGGGATTATCAGTATATCTGACTGAGTATATCTCAGCTATCTTGCTCAGTGGGTATGGATGTTGAAGTAAGTCTGAGCAAATCAATCTGTGCCTCAGTTTCCTCAGTTGTATGTGAGACTGAAAGTCCCCTCTAGTCCTAAATTTCATTTAAATTCTATGAAAACAGTAAATAATTCACCTGAAATGCATCCTCAATGGGCTTTCTCTTCATTTCTGTTTTAGGAACCAATCAATTTATGCACTTTTTAAAAGCTACAGGAGGCTTTTAAAACTGCAGGTTAATTTTAATAAATCCCCAATTATAGTAATTTTTAATGTTTTTCTTTTCAATATTGAAGTTCATGCTTTTTTGCACATAATAAAAATGGGTTTGAGAGTAACAGGCCACTTTTATTTAAAAAAATCTCTTGCATTTAATAATTGTGAGATGGTCTTCCAAGTCACTTTTTGCTAAGCATTCAATTCTAACATAAGTGTTTACTTTTTGTTAAGCATTCAAGTCTAATGTAATTGTTAATTTTTATATACATCATAAAGATGAACTTGAAACAAAGCTAAAATATCACCATTTTCTTTATTTAAAAACCTCCTTTATCTTTTCCTTTGTATTGCTCTGAAAAAGGGTATCAGTTTGGGGTTGACAACACCTCAATGGGTTGATTTCTCTAATTTATTTTTTTCATTTGTTTATTTTACAAGTACACACTGAACTGTGTATTATGCGGATCCAGTGCTAGGTTAAGACTTTTAAAGGCCTAAAAATATTATAGCAAGCCTCAGATGAAATGCAAAGTGAATTTAATATTATACCATTAAAATGTTGAAGAAATCTAGTATTGTGATTTCTGTGTTTAACAGCATGATAATTTTTTGGAGTGCGTGGGGTAAGAGTAGTATAAACTATCCAAAACTTCCTGTGGTACCTCTGCTGTGTGTGGTGAGACATCTATTGAGCAATCTTGCACTAGTGCAAGGCACTATAAGGGATACAAAGGCAAATCAGACACAGAACCTGCCTTCAAATAACGTACAGTCATGTAGTTTTATGAGCAACAGGCAGCTAGTAATTTGTAGAGATATGGTTTCTCATTAGACAAGTATGAAAAACTGTGCCCTATTCTCATAGACCAATTAAGAGTATGGATCAGCAGCCAATGGCATTTAAAACAATTTGACCTGCCTAAGTCTATTGAAGGAATTTGCATTTCAAGCATAATCAGCAAGGGTGACCTGACCCAGCACTGTGCAAGGGTGTTCCCTGAGTTAAGGGAGCATTATAAATCTAATTGCAATGCCTGGCAGAGCAGACTTCCTGCTGATACATTAGGCAATGCCTATTAGGATCCAGGGATACTCAGCAACCATGTCTTTGATAAATGTGTAGTGGAGAAAGAGTTATCAGAAATTAAGTGCTCTAAATATAGACGAGAGTGTCCTTTTTCTAGGTTGTTAAGATGTGTTAAACAAGTGAATCTTACTCCTAGGATCAGCTTTTCAGATTTAAGGCAGCATTCTTCAATGTTTTAGGTTCTACTCTTTCCTAAAACCAGATGACAAAAAGTTTTTGCTCTGTGGCAACTCAAACCAATTGAGCGATGTTAAATTTGTACTCCCTGTTTCTGTAAAGGTGATAGAAGATGCTAATCCTAAATCTGCAGTGGAATAAGAAAGGTTTTATGAACACCATATGAATGTTAACAATACCTGAATGGAATTTGTAAGTTTCACTGAATACGTGAACAAAAATATTCCCCTTCCATTTTCTATAAAATATTTTACTGAAAAACTAATCTTTATGATATGTATCACTATAATATATGCTCAAGAAAGTACAAAGAGCCCTCTCTTTTGCTTGTCCTTCATTTGGTCTGTTCTAGTTTGATAGTCTTTCTCTTGCTTTAGGCACCTGTGAACACAATTATGGGGACTTAAGATGTCTTCAATTAAGTTTAGGAACTATGTAATAAAATGTGTATTATTTTCTGTGTATTTTAGCCTGAGTGCTGAAAGTACTCTGAAAAACTCATGCTCATATTTTACAGAATTTCAGTTCAGTTCAAACTGTGGAGTTAGTTTATCAGGTGGTCAGAAGGTTGGTGTTTTGTCCGTTTGCTCTGGAAATATTAACCCATAGAAAGAGGGGGAATAGGTTGATGAACTGAAGTAATCAGATCATTTATGGTCATAGAGAAAAGTCATTTTCTCTCTCCTTTGAGCTTGAGCTACAGAAATTTGCCTTTTTAGAAAAACGCATCTTCAGATTTGTGTTGACTTGAATGAACTAATTGGATTTGGCAAAGTTGCAAGTAATTTTCAGAAATCATTAAAATCATGGAAACCCTGCTGGCTCTATTTTGCTTTCTCACAATGACTATGCTGTACTTTTTACCATTGTCACATGCATGCACACAGATTTCTTTTATTTGGTGCATAGGAAGCATAATTCTCTGGCCTAGAGAAAATACATTCTAACTCCTTTCTCTACTCCATACATTAAATGTGTGGAAACAAAAAGAAGAAAGCAAAATAGATGCAGAATTAACAAAATATGTTTGACTTGCAGTGTTATAGCAGGTGTAATCTCTTGTCTGTCCAGGAGACTTGTCAGAACAATAGAAGAGCCATAGAGCAATCTTGGCTGTAACCAGCTTTGTTCTTTCTGATTCAACCCACTCATTTGAACAAGGTTCCCAACCTTCAGATGCATTGAGCTGAATACACAGTACAGCTTGCAAACAGATACTCAGTTCTCTTTGCTTTAAAGATACTACCAATTTAAATGTCTTAAAGGCCTTAACAATTGTAGAATATGCATCCTAATGCAGATTCTCACTTACTGACTTTGAGTAGAGATGAATATAAAGACTTTACATAGATTTTTTTTCTTTTATTTTTTGGTATAAGCAAGCATTTATAATGAGACTAGAAGAAAGGTAATTAGAAGAATATACTATAGTGGTGGTTGTTTTATAAAGAAAAAATATTTTAAAGAAAAATACAGATTAGGAAACTCCAAAGGACAATTATCAAAATTATTCTATGTGATAAAAACAGTAGTTAAAATAAATGTTGATCTTCCAAAACTTAAAAAGTGAAATGTTTCAGCAAAAAAGCTATGAATGTCAATGTAAAAATGAAACATTGTAATTTATTATAGTGTAAGTTCTTTGAGAAATAAGTTTTCATAAGGCATGTGAGAGAGTTGTGATTGATTTCAATATAAAATATGATAACCTCCTCTTCCCCTATTCCTGAAAACCTCCCAGTAAACCAACAACAACAAAAAATCTAGGCACAGCCAGAGAAAGTTCAATAAAGATATATGATATTGATGATGATACATTTTATTGAAGAATGAGTAAGTAGAAAGTGACTGTTTAGAGAAATTTTATATGCTGTAATTAATTAAAAATAAGTAAATCAAGAATAAGGCACATCTTAGAGATTATATGAAAGTTGTTGTATTTCTATCTGAACAAGCTGATCAACTAAAACTATAATAGCTCTTAATGAATCAAATTTATCTGAAACTTTAAGTGAAAGTATTTGATTATTGACAATACGAAAGTCTTGTATTTCAAATGACATGCTGTATAATGCTCAGCAATCCCTACCAAATCTAAGTAATGAAATCAACTGATACTAAATATCAACTGAAAAGTCCGTGGGATAGAACTTATGTTTGAAGGGAAGCTTGGAACTAAAGCCACCAGCTTATTTATGGTTATTTATAACTAAATCCACGGATTATGTCCTGCCTTAATTAAAAAACTGAATTCAAACTAACCAGTACACTTTGAATCAAAGATCTAACTTATTATACCAACTCAACATTCCAGTTGAAAAATTAAGCAAGTAGAAACAAATGTGAACAACAACACTGTACATACTGCCAAGCTGGAGGGCAATTTACTTGGCACCTGCCTTTCTGAATTACATTAACCTTACTGTGAGAGAGATTACAATTTTCAAATTTTCACTGAAGTGAAATTGACATAATACATTAATGGTGCACTTAATTTCTCTACAAAGAGAAAACTAATTACATGTAAGGGGGCAATGACAAAGTATTTCATTACATTCGTCTGACCATCAAGTACACGACTTTTGTATCACAGCTATCATCACTGACATTCCAGTAGTAAGATCGAGTATATTAATAATTATACTTGCTCTTTAATTATAGCCACTTTTTCACTTACTATGTCATTTATAAACCTCTTATACTGCCATTTTTTGAAATTTAAAACATTTTAAATAAAATTGTAAACAGTGTGGGGCTTTTTATAATAGTGGTATAGATTCTAACCAAGTATGCAACTGACAAGATTACTTGGATAGTGAGACCAGCCACAAACTGCTATGATTTTAAATTATGTGGATATTATTTTTGTGTATTAAAAAATTCGAGTAATTACAACACCAAAGATACTGAAACAATGAAAAAATATTTAGGTTAAAAGTCCAGACACATTGATTAGTTTAAAAACCCTCTTGCAAAAGAGATTTGGGACCACAAAGTGCTACTAACTAGTGATAGGAGTTTCCTAAATTCAGTATTTTCCCAGCATGACTTAGCAACAACTTCAAGGTCAGAGATGTAATACAGTGAGTTGGCACTGATGCATTAACGTGGTCTTGAATCTTCAAATAGAGAGTGAAATGCTATTGAAAAATCTAGTTCATAAAATCGCTTTGTCATTAACACACATTTTTAATGGCATTAGGTTAGAAATAATGCCTACTAACGTTTTCTAAAACATTTCCATTTGTTTACAATGAGCATGATTTTGAAGAATTTTTACCTGAATCCACTCACCAGAAAAATGAACAGCACTGCAGCTATTCTGAAGAAACTCCAGTCCATCTCTGCTGGATTCTCTTACATCCAAGACCCAGGGAGTTTTGTTTGTTCTCTGTTCTTTTTCTTTCTCCCACTCAGCTGGTGTCTGATTAAAATAATTTGTCAGTAGATGTTCTTACATGCAGGCTTTGAGGTGTTTCTGCCTTCCTCTGGGAGAGGGACTGCAGGTACGTATAACCAGTCTGGATCCCCACCCTAAAAACTTGGGCTGGTCTCACTGAAATGCTTGACAAGATCATCATTGCTCCCAGGTAAAAACTTGGGGACACACCCTTCTTCCACCTGAGAAGCAACTCTCGACGGGGCAAGGAAGATTCACTCCTTCACTGAAGGTTTTCGGTGGCAGGCACTTAAAGTGAACAGAAATATGGAGGATTATACAGGTGATAGGGGTTTCTCACCCCAGGCTGTCTTTACAAGTGGTTTAATTTCTCTCCATATTCAATAGGCAGGTGTAACTTGAACCCTCACTTTATTCACTCGACTATCTGTTTGTAGCCAAACCCTCAGGTCATAGTAGAAAATTACAAACTTTCCATTTTAGTAGATGTTGGGAAAGTTTCAGTTATTTTCACTTGTTAAGAGACAGAAAATTTGCTAATGTGAGAGTGAGGGTTTTTTTTTTTAAAGTTATTAATTCAAACAAGTAAGACAATGATACTTACAATTATTAGATCCTCTGCATTACTCCTAATTCCCATTAACTGACCAGCCTTAAGTTCAAGGAATCCTCCATTTTCCCTGTGAAGGAATTATTTTCTCTCCTTAATTATTTTTCTCTCTTTATGATTCTTTTTAAAATGCTACAAAACAAACATTTAAATATTACTAAACTTAATTAAGGGTGAAAAGTGAGAACCACCAATGAACATCCTGACGATAATTTTAAAAATGAGATTCGGTGCCTGAAATACTAATGGAAACGCAGAAAGCTGCTCTGCAGGTGAGGTGGGTTAAAAGTCAATGACGATTCCCAAGCGCAGAGCCAAGAATCTGTACAGTGAGCCAATTAGAACATAGGGAATACACTGAAGAAATGGCTGCCTACTACATGCAGATGGGAAACTGAATGCAGCCCTGAGGTTTGTGAAAATAAATAGCAACCTTCACAAAGCAGCAGTTGGACATATTTTTTTGTCTCTCTTCTCTTCCCCTGGCAATGTCTAGTATAAATATTGTGAGTGGCAGGAAGCTCATAAACACTGGATGCCCTTCTAGTTTGAAACGGCTGCTTGGAACAAGAGACCTATCTGATAAGATGCTGATTATGGTCAAAAAGTTACTCAAAATGTCTCAAAAAGGAAGAAAATCTCCGCAGGTAGGAGAGTCTACAGAGTGCTGTCATTTCACTACAGATTTGTAGCAAAGAAGATGTATGGTTTGAATTTTCATGTGATTCATCATAGAGTGTAGAGGGAAGGAGATAGGCTGCCCATGTTTATTTGCAGTGAATAAGAATGCTTATGATTGGAAATGGCAGATGTAAATAAATGAAATTTAGAAAGATGAGCTGGCCAATTTTCTCTAATGAGAAATGTCAAGTAAAATAGACTGTCTCAACCTGTGACTTAGTCTGAGCAATATATTCGTATCAGGTTGTCTGACCATGAATAACAGAAGAATCACTGTGCACCAGAGACAACAGGAGCTACTCTTGCAGCTTTCCAGTGGCAAGTCAATGTTTTATGCACCTTGTATTCTGGGCATGATGGCTGGGCATGTATGGGGGCCTTCTTCACTATTAAATTACCTTTTCCTAAACCCAACCTGTCTCCACCCCTAACTCAATGCCTTGCTCCACCAATCCTATCCGACTAGAGAATCCATAAGGCAGCAGCGATCTCTCAGGCATCTTTCTGGAGAGGTGTAACAGAACTCCAACACTGCAGGACAACGTCTGTCTCGACAGTCACATGAGAGCCAATCCGATCTTAAACACAGTGGGAGAGGGAATTTAAGAATCACTTTCTCTCCTTTGCCTCCTTCCCTGCCTTTTTCTCTTTCTTACTCACTTTAATGTCCTCAGAACAGTGCTATGCAGTAGAACTTTCTATATGCAAAGATATTCTCTATCTATGCTGTCCGATATGGTAGCCACTTATAATATGTGACTATTGAGGATTAAAAATATGGCTATTATGACTGAAGAAGTGAATATTTAACTTTACTTAATTTAAATGTAAATAACCACATGTGGCTAGTGGCCACCATATTGGACAGTGCAGACGTCACTGCTTTCGTTGCCTATCTTGTGTCTTATGCCAAGCCTTAGGTCCTTCTCATTTTTACAAACTCCTCTCCTTCAATCTACTCTATGCCTTTCCTTAACTGAGAACTTGATCTTTGTTTCAACTTTCAATTAGCACATTTAATTAGCTTTCCTTCATGTACTCCTATGTCAGCTGGTCCTGTCCCTTTTCCTGACTTGGTGGTCCTCTTTCCTCATGCCAGTGAGTTAAGATACTTTACAACATAGGCAACACAAACTGTTCCATTTCTGTATTCACATTGTTTTCACGTCTTTCTTCCAGGAACCTCATCTGTGACCTCTCATCGCACTGTTGCTTCTTTCCCATCTCAGTGAACTCCTTTCTTCACTCTGAACATTATTTAGTGTGCGTACCTCCATGTACATAGAACAGTTCTCATTTCATGGAAATTTTGTGAGATTTGGGGTGATTTTTTGTCTGGAATTTCCCTGGTGAGCTGACAAAGTTTTCCATAGGGGCCAAAATTCTCTAGAGAAGAGGATATTCCTCTTTTTTATAAGGCATTGCAAACTGCAGAATGTATCTTAACTGTTTGCGTTTCTATATTTGTTGTCAGCTTGAAATATTGCAATACCTTTTAAGAAAACAAAATAATCAGCCCCTATAAAAATAATTTTGAAAAACAAAATTATCAGCATGTTTAACTAAAGATAACACATTTTATTGATCTAGAAGTTCTCAAGCCTAATGACAGTAACTGTTTTATCCACCTTCACTTATATAGCATCCATAGCATGAATTCATATTTCAGAGAAATTCTTCAGAATGTGCTTTCCTTTCCTTTTAGCAATAAAGTATTTTTAAATTGGTAGGTAATAGCTTGTACATATCTTTGGGGTGCATGTGATGTTTTCATATCTGTATGCAGTGTTATAATGATTAAATCAGGGCAACTGCAACATCCATCACTTCAAACATTTATCATTTCTTTGTGTTGGGAAGCTTACAGTTCTTCTCTTGCAGGTATTTTGAAATATAGAATAAATTATTGTTAACTATATTTTGATGTTATGTGTAAACCTCTAGTTTTATTTATGTGTCTAAATTATCCTAATGAAATCTATAAATTGTTTAAAAAAATAGGTGTAAGATAAAAATCTTAAACACGGAGGAGAAATTGAAGTAAATAAGTTAGGCATTATATAAATAAAAATTTTGTGTTTGCCTCTATACTATATTAATATTCCTATGAGATATATTGATTGTAGATCTTGTTCACATTGTTTAAAATTCAACTATTCCTCAAAGAGCCAATGTCACACACATAGATGTCTGGGAGCAGGGGGGCTGCATTTTAGATTAAAAGATGTTTTTCTTTTTAATATATAACAATCACATGCAGTGTCTGGTTGGTAATGATTTCTGGTATGGACAAAAGAGCTGAGATTGCAGTGGCTCGATCTTGGCTCACTGCAACCTCTGTCTCCCAGAACAAGCAATTCTCGTGTCTCAGCCTCCTAAGTAGCTGGGACTACAGGAGCGAGCCACTATGCTCAGCTAATTTTTTCTTAGTTTTAGTAGTGATGGGGTTTCACCATGTTGCCAGGCTGATCTTGAACTCCTGACCTCAAGTGGTCTACCCCACTCAACCTCCCTAAGTGCTTGGATTACGGCCGTCAGCATCTGTGCCCAGCCATATTATGTTTATTTTTACAGATATGTGAATTATGTAGGCGTGAAATTTCATGATGATGGAAATTTTCTTCATAGTAATTCAGCAATGAAATAAATAGAAAATATGGCAAATATTGACAACTGTTAAATCTAAATAATAGTATATGGTTTGTTTCGTGTATATTTGAAAATTTTCAAAATAAAAGTAAAAATAAAAACTTAAGTAGATGTTGGCAAATTATTGCCATGGGTCGAAGGTCAAATAGGGTCCACTGTGTGTGTGTGTGTGTTTTTTTTTTTTAAGTTGAACACAGCCATAGTCATTTGAATATAAATTGTGGCTCCTCTCACTCTACAACAGCAGGGCTAAGAAGTTATGACACAGATCATGTTGGCATAGAAAGCCTAAAATAATTACTTATCTTGCCCTTTACAGAAAATGTTTGATGATCCCTGGACTAGATGAATAGATTATAGTTTGCAGTATGAAATATGACTCATGAGTAGATTAGCTGATTTTAGGTGAAGTCACAAAATTGATCTCAAGGACATGAACAGAAATGATGACTGGAAGTAACCATTAAAATTAAACAACAACAACAAAAACTAGGCTGGACGTGGTGGCTCACACCTGTAATCTCAGCTCTTTGGGAGGCCGAGGTGGGTGGATCACTTTAGGTCAGAAGCTGGAGACCAGTCTGGCCAACATGGTGAGACCCCATTTTTACTAAAAAATGCAAAAAAATTAGCTGGGCGTGGTGGCAGACACCTGTAATCCCAGCTACTCTGGAGGCTGAGGCAGGAGAATTGCTTGAACCTGGGAGTGGGAGGTTGCAGCGAGTTGGGATCTTGCCACTGTACTCCAGCCTGGGTGACAGAGCAAGACTCTGTCTCAAATAATAATAATAAAAAAATTAAAAAGCTAACCAATGAGAAAAATACATTTACAATAAAATTGTGTTTTTAGTTTTACATTTTTAGAGGGATTTTGTTTCTAATTGATCAAAGTAATCTATAGCCTAACTCGTCTTCCTTTCTTTTAAAGCAGATCTAAGAAAAATCTTATTTTTATTTTTCTCTAGTCAATTCTAGAATGAGAATTCAACAGCATCACATCTTTATATGCTTTTCTCTACATAGAAACAATGTTTATGAACAGGGGAAAATCTTAATTGATTTTGAGAACCGTGAAGTCTATCTAATACATAAATATTTTATGATAAAATAAGAATGGTGAAAGAGAGTAAGCTATTATTGCTGTGTTTTGTAAACATTAAAAATATATGATAATTCTGAGTAT